TCATTCAGCACTTACTTTCATTTGGACTTTTTCATTCTGTTTAACCAACTGAACTATGATTGTAGAGCACACATCATTAATGACTTTAAAAACCAAGAAATGGGTGCACGTTTGAATGTATTTAGAATTTTATGTCATTCCCACAGAATCAGAGAAAATCTGCATGTATGTACTTTAAACAGTATTTCAAAAGCACATACAGTCTCACATATACACTCAGAATCACTTCAGTCTTTGTGATGAAGTGTTGAAGCTTCTATACTTTAAGCTGCCATAGCTGAGGCCTGTTAGCTTCTCCATGGTGTTCACCATGGACTACACCTCGTAGTCCTCCTATATGAGGAGCATCAGTTCAAATAAATATGTTTGTTTTTGTTCATGTTTGACCATCTGTGTCTGCTACTTTCACCAGACCCTGTGTGTCACACTTTCCAAGTGGGTAGGACGACAAAAACACTTGTATTCCCATGACTGTAACAGTGGATGTGGTCCATGAGGTGTATATGACACATTAGCATGTTTCCTGCCGCTCGTTCTAATCCGGTGGTTGTGGATCTGAATCATTCATATCTACGGTGCGCTGAAGCTCGTGGTGGTGGAGATGGTAGAGGCCATTCCGCTCTCACGCTCTCTCGGGTTGTCATGCAGTTTTCCTGCACGTCTCCACAGCAAATGGCTGCGGTTGGGTTTACACAGAAAGGGTAGATATCAGCCTCTCCTGGGGGTTGCCACCCACATATAATCCACATTTTTACAACCATTTTCATTTTCTTTTTTGAACCAAGCATCTTGTATGTGTCCAAAACTCAAGAACAGTCAAATAAATGAGCAAACACACTGTGGGAAAAATAAAATGTTGTTTGATGTCGATGTATTTACATTTGTGACAGTTTACTACTAAAATACTAAGATTGTGAAGATAAGATCCAAACGTAAAACCTTTGCTGGTGGCTGTGAAGGATCCCAGTACAATAACAACTCAGCTGCAGATATTCATGGTACATTTCAGATCTGAACAGGTACAAACTGTGAGATCTGAAGATATCCAAAACTAACAGAAGGGAGAAACGTGTTGGGCCTGAGCGTCTAATCACTCCATCTTTCCTTAGACTGTGAAATCATCTCCTTGGAGGAGAAGGATAAAGGCAAGAAGCTGGAAACAAAGAAAAAATGTTAAGAGAGACTTTAAGTGATTTTTTTTTGTATAATTCACATTTTTAATATGAAACGCAGGTATTTGGGTCTGTGTATATACAGCATGCTACTAAACAATATGTAAAATGGCACTAAAAACTAGAACGAGTAAATTAAATATAAAAACCAAGTAGTAAAATATAAATAACTGATCTTAATACATGTACAATATTACACAATGTGTGGCAGGGAGCAGCAGCAACAATTCACAAAGCTTATATTCAATAAAGCATGTTGTCGAGGTCCAAGGTTATTTGTGAATTACATAAAATCATACAGTATTGTACATTTAGTGCACACAATGCTTTAAGACCTACTGAGAGAAAAAAGGTGAATGCATGTAGACAATTACAGGTTTTTGTGTCATCGTGCCATGGTGCCACTCCTTCCTCCTAACGACTATGCAAAAAGAAAAAAACGTTCTTCTCTGATGTGTCATTGCCAAGTTTGTTGATGGATGAGCACAAAAATTGTTACAGACATTCATACTTCCTTGCTTGAGTTCATTTTATTGTGAAAGGTGATCTCCCAAAAGTCTGGACAAAATCAAATCATTTAAAAATAATCACACACACAAAACTCCAGGCAAGAGGACAGAAAGGAGCTCCGAACTCTCAAGAATCTTTGCTTAGAGCCAAAGGAGACTCCTCTGAGACATTACAGTAGTATGCAAGGAATGACCGTTGCTCAAGACACACTAACACACTTAATGATTAAAAGAAAGAAGGAGGCAGAGAAGAATGAACGATTGCCTGCACAAGCAGACGGCACCAAAAGGCTTTCGGACGAGCGTGCCGAGAGAACGAAGGAGAAGGAAACAGGAAAAGCTGGATGGGAATGTGCAGTTGCTTTGCAGAGACTTTGCAGCTGTGACCTCTTTCCTCACACTTGTCCTCCTTCTCAAAATGATCATTGTGCATGTGTTGTGTAATGCATTCATAGAGTTACAGTATGCTTTCCACACCTCAGCATTAACCCTGTATTTGCACTTCCCAAATTTCTCAACTCTATACTCACTTTTATTATCAGCTCTCACGACGCCCCCGCTGCCTGGAGCTTACTCATATCGTCTGCAGAAGACTGAAATCTTCTGGAAAAAATTTTCCAACCTTCCTTCTTTCGCTTTTACACTTTCCAACTTTCGTTCACCTTTTTCTTGACTTTTTATGCGCTCTCACAGACCTTCCACTTTCCTTCTTCAGTGCAGAATGTTTGCCAACATCAAGATCTCGTGTAGTCTGCTCTGGTTTCTGCAACCTTCCAGCTAAATCTGGGATGAAAAGATTAAACAGCATACAGTATTTCATATGTTTTATAATACAGATTGTATACTTTTACAAATAAAAGGAGATGTGGTGTCTGTATCCATGCTTTCCTTTATTCCACAGGTCACATAATGGAAACATTTCCTGAAATTCTGGTCATCCTGCTTAATTTGCTTTTAATAGCAAATTACCCTTTGAAACCAGTCACTTTAACCGTAATGATGTTCTTGCATTGAAATGCAAAGCCACATCGGCCATTTGGTTTGCACAATAACAAGATAATGATGTTATGTTGGATTTCCAGCTTCATCATTGTCACTCATCACAGCAGAGCAGTAGCAGGAAGAGATTAAGTTAACCAGAGATGGGCCACTCAAGTGAGGGCGCCCACAGGTTGAATTACTGCAGTACACAAGTTGATTTTTGGGGGGGAGAGTTTTATGAAAAAAACAAAAACAAAAGTGGATTATTAAAGTTAAAAGTTTTGTTTTAGATGAAAGCATCAGTGAGGGGAAAAGTAACCACAGAGCGGAAGCATTCCATTTATTGTTGGCAGTTTCCTATGGTTAGCCTCAGTTTGGTGTGTAACAGCATTTTAATGTCACATAATTATCTCACTGCATAAGGTTGGTTTAAAAATGATTAGCTCATGACGCTGGCATGATTAGATGACGCACGTTGTTTTCCTGTCCTTTGCTACACGCCTGAAGTTGTTTGTTCCTCTGCTTTAAACATTTTTATGGTTTTCTGTTGTCACGAGTTGTACGTTAAAGAAGAAAGAACGAACAGCTCGCTGTCCCAAAGGCATACGGAGAGATGAAGACGCACAGCGCATCATGTTGTCGGTCAGTAACCAAAAACACATGTGAGGCTTTCTGCGCTCAGGAGCGATCTTTCCTCAGTTCTTCAGAAACACTGGATTCAGCTCATGGGATATGATGACCTGTGCGTCTGCTGATCAGCAGCCGAGTGCGTGTATGTAGACATACAATGACTCAGACTTTTATGCTGACAGCTGTTGAATCTGTTTCATATTTCTAAATTTTTTGAAAAGAAAATATGTTTTCAGTCATGCAGCACACGCCGACAAACTTCCCATGCATGAGCCAAAACGTAACGGGCACACAGTGGTGCATCATAATCAGTTCCCCTGTAACTAATCACTGTTTCCTGGTGTGAAGCAAATGCTCAGTAAAATGAAGTGTTACGACAGATGTCACAGCCTAGCCAAATGATGCCAACATAAAATCTCTCTAACGCCTCAAAAATGTGCCCAGATTCCCTGACGCACATAACATCGCAGTCAGAGCGCCTTCGCTCACATTTCACGTGGCTTGATTGGTTTAAATTACCAGCTGGCTGCCGATTAATCTGCTTTACTGCTGTAACTGTTGAGCTCATGACATCGCAGAGGAAATAATGACACCCTGTGAGCTGTTTTTCATTTCTAGCAGGGCCTGGAGCGTGAAGTACACATCAAGCGGTAACCCATGTAACTCCAGTCTTTGTACCATAAAGGTGTCTGCATTTACATTTCAGGACATGTCCACATAAAAGCTAAGTGCGCAGCAGAACTGCTGTCGAATCAAAGCTGTTAATGCGGTTAAAATCCTAAGCTGGAGACTTGGGTGCAGTTAACTATGAAGGGCTTTCCTTTTATTAAACCATTAAGTTTTGACGTTGAATAAGTTTCCAGATTCTAATTTCACTGTAAAAAAAAAACACAAAAGTCTGATTCACTTGGAGTTTTTTCTTCTAAAGATAGGTATCCGTTTGCAGTAATCCACTACTCATGCTTTTTATGAGTTCGACCGAAATCAAATCCAATCAAAAACCAATGAAATGTGGAAGCTACGAATCAAGAGGATGGACGGTGGGTGAGACAGCATGACAAACCTCTGGATTTGCACATTACAGGAGTTAGCTTGTATCACAGTGGACTCGTTTCAGTAAAACACCTGGACATAAACACTTTCCAGACACTGGAACTGTAGGCTACTGGAGACTTTCCAGACACTGACGCCATGTGACCTAATTCCTGCAGATCGCTGCTCAGACTGTATAAAACCTATATGCCAAAACACTGCATTGCATCGGTGCCCTGCAGTAAAGCGAAGTCTGGTTGGTGCAAATGAAGCAGAGGAAGAAGCTTCACATGAGATGCTTTTTATCTCTGGAGAAAAGAGGCGAAGTTTGGTCTTGAACCTAGAGGCAATGCTGGTCCCCTGTAACCACCAGTCCCCACCTCTCCCACTCCCACCCCCACACACAGTTTGTTAAGTTTGGTAATCTGCGTGATGAAAGGTTGTTTTAGAACAATTCTTCATTGATTCAATTCAAACAAACAAATAAACGAAGCAAAAGCAAGTCAAAGCAACATTACATATGAATGATCTTTGTTTCGCAAAAGCCTGCCTGCCCCACGTCTGCGTGGGTAGTCCCTCTCATTGTTGCACCTCCCCTCCTCCGCCTGAAAGTAAGCCATGCCCAGATAAATCACTCCCAGCACAGAGTGGTAACCTGCACACTGGGGCCGCAGACTGCAGAGGAGGACAGAGGGAGCAGGCTGGGACGCGGCAGAAAGCGCACAGTCTGATTGGAGCCGAGTTCTGTTCTCTGGGTGTATTTGAAATAACACTTTCATATACGCGTATAATAACAGCGGGACACCTGCAGCTTCATTTTGCTTTCATTGAGTCACTCTTCGACAGTATGACAGGCAGCACCATCGCCAGGGTGCTGGTTGCCCTGTGTATCGGGAGCGCAGTGAACTGTATGCCCAGAGGGACGCACAGGGATCGGCGTCAGGCGCATCAGCACCACGTCCCCTCAGTCTCTCAAGGTAAGCCGTTTGTGAGTGAGTGAGTGTGGCAGCCTGTGAACTTCCAATCTGAGGCCGGAGTGGGGGGTGGGGGTGAGAACATTTTAATTAAACTGCAAAGTTTGCGCACCTTTTTTTTTTTGGGGGGGGGTGTCCCTTGGTGGTCCTTGCTGGATTGTGCAGTCATAAAACTCTGGATTAACCTCAGTCACCAGAAAACCTCCTGTCCTCCCCAGACTGGGTCTAAGAATGAGAAGGGAGTGAAAGTACAAAGAACGCCAATTGTTTAAAAGCTGGAAAAAGTCAAAAGGGAATCAGATGTGAACAAAGAAGATGGAGATAGAGAGTAAAAGTGGAAGGTTATTATTCGCTGCTCTGTGCAAATGATTTATCACTCGGCATTAGGGTCCTTTGAAGTCAAGTTAACACATCCAGGCACTTTCACAGGCAGGGGAGAAGCCTTGTCCTCCAGCAGAGTGGTGATTCCAATTTAGGGTTTGCTTATCATTGTGTGGGAGAAAAGTCGTGTGTCTGTTTTTAGCTGTGGTTAGGGCTGGACAAGTTTCCAGTGGCTGCATTTGTCTTTCAAATTTTAAAAAGATCTCTTGCTTTAATCTTTACCAAGCAGCTTTAATCTGTATCACTCAATTGTTTTTTCTCTCTGTCTTGTTTCCATTTTCACGTGTCAGAGGGTTGTATGGAGAATGGTCAGTTCTATGGAATCAGTGAACAGTGGGAGCGGCAGTTTTTGGACAGCACTCTGGTCTGTACCTGCCATGGAGTTGGAGGAATCAAGTGTAAAAGCAAACCCCAAGGTTAGTTTGTGGGCTGTTAGCTGCGTCCACAAAAATCACATCTGTTCTTCACTTCTGTCTGAGAAAAGAACAAAACATGTACCAAAAACACATTTTCTGCTGTTGCTCTTAAAGAGGAAAGGTGCTACGATAAAGTCAACGAGCGGTACTACACTGTGGGAGAAACCTATGAGAGACCCAAGGACGGCATGATCTGGGACTGTACCTGTATTGGATCTGGGAGGGGCAAAATCAGCTGCACCATTGCCAGTAAGTGTGTGATACTGTGTGCCTGTTTTAACTGCTCTAACCTCAGACCACACATCTAGGACTGCCAAACAGTAAACTGGTTAACCCCCCACGCTCTCCACAGTTGATTAGAACCTGGTGCCATGCAGCTATTTGCAGTTAGTGGTTAAATAATGAAGCACCACATTTTTTCAGTTCCCTTTGTTTGCTTATGCTGATGAGCCTGAAATCATCTCTAAAATCATGTCTTCTCCTTCTCTGCACCTAGATCGCTGTCATGAGGGCGGGGCTTCATATAAGATCGGTGACACCTGGAGGAGACCCCACGACACAGGAGGCTACATGCTGGAGTGTGTCTGTCTGGGTAACGGCAAAGGAGAGTGGGCCTGCAAACCTGTTGGTGAGTCATTCAGACAGGCAGTGACTAACAGATGCATTCTTCTGAATCAGCCATATATGTGTTTTATAGACAGTGCTGAACAAGTAATTAATGAGTTTGTACCCTGCAGCTGAGCGCTGTTACGACAATTCGGCGGGAACATCGTATGTTGTTGGGGAGACGTGGGAGAAGCCGTATCAGGGATGGATGGTCATGGACTGCACCTGCGTCGGGGAGGGAAATGGACGCATCACATGCACCTCCAGAAGTAAGAAAGCGTATTTGCTTTGCTTTGTTTGCCCCCATCTACACTTCTGCTTTGCTTTCAGGTTTAGCTACGAAAAATTAAATTCAGGTTTATTTATACAGCACCAAATTACAACAACAGTCGCCTCTAGGTGCTTTATACTGTAAGTGAAGGACCCCACAGTAATACAGGGAAACCCCAGCAATCAGACAAGCAACTATGACCAAGTACTTGGAGACAGTGTAAAAGAAAAACTCCCTTTCAACAGGAAGAACCTCTGTAAGGACCATCCTCAGGAAGGGGCAGCCATCTAATTTCCTGCTGTCCTACTTTTATTCATTTGTTTTCGAGATTTTTCTTGTTTTGCATGATCTCCATGGATACGTAAGCTTGTCTGTCCCCCTCAGAAAGTCACACAAGCAGAAAATCTGAATTTATTGCTGCTGTTTTGAATCACACATGTCTGCACATCCTTTAAACCCTCAGTGAATGCCATCCACGTAGTATGGAGTCTTCTAAGAAGGACTAATGGTAAAGTGAGCTTGTTATTTCTTGGAGAATTTTAAGAGGGGAGGAAATGTTTTCCAGCTGTGTCGACAGTTTAAACCGTCACTCCAGTCCTTTATTATGTTGGCTGGTGCATCAGGTAATAATAAATGCTTTTCTCAATTAGTTTGTTGTTTTATCCAAGTGCTCAGGGTGGCCTTGGACACTTCGTAGAGTTCATCAATAAATTTCCCCATGTGTGCACAAACATGCAACCAGCTGCTAGCCAGTGATTCAGGCCCCACTCAATCGCTGCAGAGAGTTTCCCCCAAGTCACCAGACTGCTTAGAGTTTCCATTTATTTTATATTCTACTTATTTCCTTCTCTCCTAGATCGCTGTAACGACCAGGATACTCTGTCCTCCTACCGTATTGGAGATACCTGGACCAAGACCGACGCCCGGGGTCACCTGCTCAAGTGTCTGTGCACGGGGAACGGCCGAGGAGAGTGGAAGTGCGAACGACATGCCTCACTTCACACCACGGGCCTGGGTGAGGACTGATAATATCCCTGTGTCTATTCTCCCCGGCTCTGTGCGAGGAGAGGAATGCGTACCAGAAACACATGTTGTGAGGCGAGAGAGATAAGAGGTGCCAAGTGTCCAAGTGATGAAGTGAGAAAAACGCAGCTTGGAACTCGTGATCGTGACCTCATGAGAAGCAGAGGCAGAAATGGGAACTCGGGAAAGTAGATGTGCAAATGTAGGGGGAAAGTGATGACAGGGTGTGAGACAGAAACATGCTCATTGTGACTTAGAGACAGTAAGACAGTCTTTTTATTGTAGTGTAGTCGTTACTCATATACTTAAGTTGACTCCTGCTAAATTACTCCGGGTATGCGCATGAAGTAAGTCTTCAGAACTACTAATAATTTCACTTGTTCTTTATTCGTGCTTTTAATCTAACTTGAGCTGTTGCTCTGATATCTGATTGGTGTAACATGTTGTGTTTTAGGCACTGGCTCCCGTGTTGTCACCAACATCCACCCTGTGGTCTACCAGCCCGACGCTGTGCCCGAGCACGCCCAGAATGGAGCCTGTCAGACTGAGACGGGACTGATGTATTCTGTTGGCCAGCGCTGGATTAAGAAACAGGGAACTACGCAGATGATCTGTACCTGCCTTGGCACCGGGTCCAGCTGCAACCCATGGGGTAATGAATTATTTCTTTGCAAATTTGTAAATTACAAAGTTCACCTGCAGAGTTAAGCATAATTAGGCTGACGTCAAAGTGAGACATACAAAAACGACTGTCAAGTGGTGTTTATGCCTCTGTTTGTTTTCCCATCCTCCTTCAGATGGACCTGCTCCAGTATACGGTGGCAACTCCGGTGGTCTGCCCTGTGTGTTCCCTTTTGTTTACAAGGGAAAGACCTACCACTCTTGTACCTCCGATGGACGTGCTGACGGGCAGCTGTGGTGCTCCACCTCGTCTGACTTTGAGACAGAGCAGAAATTTTCTTTCTGCACAGAGAAGAACGGTGAGCTAAAAGCTGGAGCGGTGACGTGTTGACATGTTCAGATAGAAATATCATCTCTTTGATATTTGAAGAAAATGAGTGTGGGCTGTTGAAAAAGACAGGAGTTGTGTTTTATCGACAGTAGGGCTTCTCCTGGTCAGTGCAGGTAATCCCCTCACAATGGGAACAAAAGGGCGTGAAGATGACATGTTTCCTTTAAATGTGAGGCTTTTCCCATCTCTTAACTTTAAGACCTCATACAGGTTTTCTGATGTGCAATAACAGCGAGGCTGCAGTGAGAAGGAGGCAGCTAACCATGTGCCTCCTCCTGTGTAATGACAGGCAGCTGGCCAGCTGTGAGATGGTTTTTATTGTAGCACCCAGACCTGCTGTTCTCCTAATGTGTTAAACAAAAACCCTGAAACGTGTTAACAATGAGCTGCTACGTTCACATTTGCCCAGTTGTCACAAGCTTGCGTCAAAAGCAAGATGCACAGTCTGTCAAGGAGATGTTTATTAAACTTATTACTTATTATTTCTTTTTTTCTTCTTCTTTAGCAATCGTGGCAACACGTGGCGGTAATTCTAACGGCGCTCTCTGCCAGTTCCCTTTCCTCTACAATGGCAGAAACTATACCGACTGTACCGCAGATGGACGAAGGGATGGCATGAAGTGGTGCGGCACCACAACAAACTATGATGATGAGCGGCGTTTCGGGTTCTGTCCCATGGCGGGTAAGTGTGTGTCGAGTGAGAGAGGGCTGTTAGCTCATGGCTCAGCAGTTTCCTAACAATGATGGCAGCTAATTGCTAATTGCAAAGTCTAACCTCCACCCCAGTACGAATGCTTACCTGACCTTTACAGCTGATTGAATTAGCATAGAGGCAATTATCAGCGTGATGCTAGAAAGCAGCCGGGCCTGATATCACAGGCAAAATCTGTTTACACTTCTAACACCTTTTGTTTACAGCTTGGTGCCAATTAGTCTCTGTGGGTAACAAAGGAGACTGAAGCCAGTGAAACTGTGGGAGGGGTCGTTAAAACCACACTAATGTCTGAAGCAGTAATGACAGCGAGGATGTTGGTGCCATCGTGCTGTAAAAAGAGAAAAATCTGATCAATTTAAACTTTGGAGACGTAAAAGTCATTTTATACAAAGCAGCTGAGCTGTCACAACAAATGTGTGTTTTTGGCATCGCAGTGAATACATTCAGAGCGCAGGGCTCCTTTATATTGACAGTAATGACTTCACAGGCATGTCAAAACAAACACGGTCGTTGAGGTGTTAATGGTGATGTTTAATCAGGTCTGGAGCCCCCTCGCCTCCACCTGTGGCAATCTTCTTCAAAGCTTTCTGCACTGTCTGCCGTGTGCCCGCGGGACAGCCTCCAGCTGTGACCCACAGTCAGAATTTAACCTCCATTATGCAAATGTCATCATTTACTTGGTTAGATCCACAATCTAACAACCAAACAAAACAAAGTAATCCCTTTCTCAAATTCAGCCCCCGTGCCTGGTTAAACTGTAATCAGCCTCTCAGCTGCTGATAAATCTCTTTGGCAGGAATTTAATTTAGTTCCCACAAATCGGCCAGAAACTTTTTAAACAGCCACTTTGAAGTCATCAAACCAGGGTTTAAATCACACTAAAGACTATTAGTTTTATTAATTTTAAATAGATGACTGCTGATGGACTGCAGACTGACATTTAGGCAGCTGTTAATGGGTTTGTAACTGGAACAGATCCACATTTTACACGGTCTGAAGGAAAGGCTCATTTTAACTGTGAGGGTAGAAACGCGTCCAGCATGAATTCAAACAAAAATCCAACAATATAATTAATTGTTTCAACTGGTCAGGACCACTGAACCCAGAAACAAAAACACATATATATGGACAAATGGACAAAAAAATTAGTGTCTTTTTTTTGGCTCAATTTTGAACTTTCCACTTAAGAAATGAAAGATCTGTGTTTCAGTCCCAGGAAGAGACACAAATCCCTTAGTGTCAGAAAGGATATCCGGAGTTTAATCAAATAATTAAATACATGAAAAATCTTCCAAATCAAACATGCAGAGCTGCTCGCTGCGCTGACCCGTTGTGAATCAGGGAGCAACTACAAATAGCTTCTCGTCATTTACTCACTCAGGCTTTCATGCATATTTATTTTGAACAGAATTCGTATGAAAGTTTTTGCATGTTTTTAACAAAAGCATACACAAAGGTTTAGTGTTAGTGACATACAACATGCAAGAAGACTTTCAACAGAAATTATCTTTTTATTTCATTTAAACCCACAGCAAAGCCTTCCTAAGTCCTTTAGCCCACCTTCAAATCAAATCAAATCACTTTTATTGTCACATCACATGTGCAGGCACACTGGTACAGCACATGCGAGTGAAATTCTTGTGTGCGAGCTTCACAAGCAACAGAGGTGTGCAAAAAAAAAATGCAATAACATAAAACAAGCCAAATATAAGAATGGCTAAATCTGAGAGTAATAAATATATGTACAATATAAGAGTGTATGCATTACTGGATGTGTATACTAAATATGTTTTTCTACGTGTGTGTGTGTATACATATTTTACAAATTAAATAGAGTAAACAATAAAATAAAATATATAAAATATACAGAGGTTGGTAGTTGAACATGTTGAAGCTCCAGTAGTAAGGGTGAGGTGTCTATAAAGTGTTCAGCAGTCCGATGGCCTGGTGGAAAAAGCTGTCTCTCAGTCTGCTGGCTCGGGACCGGATGCTGCAGAACCTCTTTCCTGATGGAAGTAGTCTGAACAGTTTATGGCTGGGGTGACTGGAGTCCTTGATGATCCTCCCCGCTTTCCTCAGGCACCTTTAACCACGTTCTAATCATTCCTGTACTTACGTCCTAGCTACAGCCTTCATGTGCAGTAAAGTAAAAAAGGCCACACGCTTTCTTTCCACACATGCACGCTCACACATGGAAGCAGGTCTTTACTTGCATCAGACACTTTTTCAAACTTATATCTCTCTGGAAAAAATCCAAACCACTCACTCTTTCTAATTATGGCAGATTTCATACATACGAGAGCACACGACAGCTGTTTCTAGCTTTTAATCAAATTTTCTTTGCTATGGAGACAAAGACAGGTGTTCTGTGGGGTCTGCATCCTCTCCCACCCTGTGCAGTAATAGCAGGGTTGAGTCAGTGATGTCCAAAGGGCATCGTTCATGTTAATGTGTTTGTTTTTATCATGATGAAGGTATGCTGTGTGTGTGTGGATCCGTGCATCTAATTCTTTTTAGTATTTCCTCCTCATTAAGACCAGCAGGAGGTGTAACATTCAGTTGCTTTTGTGTGTCCCAGCTCATGACGAGGTGTGCACATCGAATGAAGGGGCGATGTACCGTGTAGGCGACCAGTGGGACAAGCGTCACGAGGTTCTGGGTCACATGATGCGGTGTACCTGTGTTGGCAATGGCAGAGGAGAATGGAGCTGCATTGCTTACTCTCAGCTAAACGGTAGGTGTCCACAGCTGTAGGATACACCATGGCAACAAGCAAGGGGCTACAGAC